GTTACCAGTTACTTTGGTATACCTGAACGTATCATCACTGACAGAGCTACAGCCTTTACATCGAAAGAGTTTAAAAACTATTGGGCTAACAACGACACCAAACATGTACTAAATGCGGTACGTACTCCACGAGCGAATGGTCACGCTGAGCGAGCTAATCGTACACTTTTGTCAATGTTACTTCCAACAACAACTGCGGACAAGAGATGGGACGATAATTTAGCTAACATCCAATGGTCAATGAACACAATGAAAAACAAAAATACCGAGAGGAGTCCACACGAACTATTATTTAGTTTCTCACCGAGAGATATACTCCAGAATAAAGTTTTGTTGACGTTACACGAAAACCATTCAACAAGTGAAGAAGACATGCAGAAACTACGTATAGAAGCAGCTGAAAAAGTAAACCAGCGAAGACAACAAGCTAAGCAGCGATACGACGAACATCATGTAAAACCTACAGAATTTAAAATTGATGACGTGGTGGTAGTCGAGAATGAACCCTCTAGAACTGGTATGTCGAGAAAGTTGGAATCTCGTTTCAAAGGTCCCTTCATAATTAAGCAAGTCCTTGGTAAAGACCGTTATCTAGTTGAAGACTTGCCAAACGCCAAACGAACATCACGTCACTATACTTCAGTCTACGCGTCTGATAAGTTGAAGTTATGGTGTCAACTTCCCCCGAATTTCGAAAACGACGACAATGATTCTGACTATGAAAACAACGAGTACAGCGAGGTCGCTGTACATTGCCAGGATAGCTGAATGTAAGGTAACTTTAGCAGCATAAGCATTTGTTTGACTGAGTGGCAGCATCGTACATTCAACATTCATTAAACAACATTCATCTTACTCGAAGAGAGTCGAAGTTCAGCCGTCGCCGTGCTAACATCATTTCAATCGATTAATATACCTTCTTGAAATACTTCTATGTACAAACCTTTCTATTACTTATAATAATTTTAAATAAACCTAAATTAAACGTTTGTCATTATTAAACGAAACTCGGTACCTTTCACAAGTAAACAGAAGGAGGCTACGTCCAATTATTCTATCAAAACAAAGAAAATAAAGGTGCTTAACGTTTGACATCGATAGAACCTATGTTTCCGTGGTCCGATTGTAGGAACACGCATATTTACGTGTTCGTCTGGGCGAGGATAAGGTTTATATCTAGGTTAAAACATTAACCTTGCCATCTGTTAAACACTTTTCTTCAATTAGTTAAATGAATTGCTGAAATAGGTGTATCAATGGAAATGGACTTGAAAAGGCTTTATCTCTATGCAACCTCCCAGCGTTTCCACCGTTTTAAAAAAACTAATTTAACTTTAATTTAGGGTATTAGATAATTCAAAAAAGTATCACAGTACAGGTAAGAAAATGTAATAAAACTACATTTTTATAATAATAACAGTAATATAACAGTCTTATTTATTGTTAAGAGAATGTTGTAGTGTTACTATAAACTAGTTGCGTTTTTATATTTTTCTTTAATACATTTTCTAAGTAAAGAAATATCACTTATCTGCCATTTTCTGCGGGCAATCTTTTCATCCTACATTAGCAAAATTTCTAAGGTTTCAACTGAACAAAGAATAATAACGCGATCTCGCCCGGGCATACAACAAATTCCTTAATATTCAACAAAAGTTAAAGAAAAAGTACTCGTTGAAACCGCTATTTTCGTTAGATTTAAATTGAACTTTCGCTCAACAAAATGATTAAAAAAATTTAACACTTAAATGCTTTAGTACCAGGTTGACCCAGCTTTGACAAAATCGGCTCCCTTAGCAAGGCATTGTGTGTGGGTTCGTGTGTGGGTGCAAGCTTTTGTAAGCGAGTTAAGGGAGTGTCAAACCTCTAATGTCAATATTGAGCAAACCTTTAATTATTGAATCATGGTGGCATTCCTATTTCGAAATACTTTCTGCCCAAAGTTCTCAACAATACCTTTCATTTCATATCCATATTGCGATGTTTTATATAAATTGTGTAGAATCGAAACTAAGTGGCAGCCTTACACTACTATCCTAAGGGATACCATTTTTATATAGGGAAATCATTGTTTAAGAACCTTCTCTTGGTACAAATGAATAGTAATATTTTACTTTTTTTCTGAACAAAAAATTAAATAAACATGCGAGTCAAAATAGGTGGCAACCCTGTTAAAAATATTTTTGAATTAGGGATCTTCAAAATACCTTCCATTTGATGCCCATATTTTGATGTTTTAATTAATTTGTAACTAATTTCGAATAGGTGGCAACCTTGTGCGAGTCTTCACGGAGATAATTCCTATTCAGGTAACCTTAAAATCCAACTATCTGTGTACAAAATTTCATCAAAATCGTTAGAGCCGTTTCCGAGAACCCTATGGATATATCTTACTAATATTATAAATGTGAAAGTTTGTATGTTTGGATGTTTGGGAAATCATCTCGCGGAAACGACTAACGGATTTGCATGAAATTTTGTACGCAGATAGCTTATGGGCCAGATTGGTTAATAGGCTATTTTTTTAAGAGTTGCCACCTATTAGAAAAGTTTAATTAAATAATACGCGGAAACGACTGAAATGATTTGCATGAAAGTTTGCACACATATAGCTTATGACCTAGATTGCAAATAGGCTATTTTTTTAAGAATTGCCACCTGTTTGAAAATGAAATTTTGCTCACAGATGGTTTATGACCTGGATTGAAAAATATGCTACTTCCTTAACCGGTTTCCCCATCAGAACGCAATTTAGTACACTTACTATGGATTTCGCAAGGATGGTCCTAGACTGAAAGTGATTCCGATAACTCAAGGCCCTCCCATACAAATTGGAATTTTCATATTATATACATATCTCTGGAAGTATTTGTGGGAGAGAACTGGAACTTGGTATAGAGATATGTATGTGATATCAATGATGGCATGGATCGATTGATTTTTTAATCAATTAGTTAATTCGGTTAAATTCAATCTGATTTTGCAACTGGTCGATGGGCGGTTTTGCAAAAATATCGATGATATGTATGTATGTTTGTGAAACTAATACCATACTCATGGAGAAAAATGAGAGTTATTGGAAAAGGTGGTGTGGCACCTCCCATGCAAATTGATTTTTCTATGCTGCATATCTCTGGAGGTATTTCTTGCAGAGGACTTGAACTTGGCACCGAGATGTGTACAAAAAATTAATTCCATACTCATGGAGAAAAATTTGCGTTATTCGAAAAGGAGGCATGGTACCTTCCGTACAAATTTACTGTTTTATACTGCATATCTCTAGAAGTGTTCATGGTAGAGTACTGGGACTTGGTACTGGGGTATGTAAAATCAATCCTTAATTCATGGAAGAAAAATAGTGTTATAAGAAAAAGGGTTGTGGCACTTCCTGTACAAATTGACTTTTGCTTTCCACATATCCCTGGAAGTGTTTGTGGAAGAATACTGGAACTTGGTATGGAGCTGTGTATACAAAATGTATCAATTGCTCATAGAAAAAATGTGAGTTATTAAAAAAGGAGGCATGTCGCCTCCCATACATACTAAAAATTTCTTAATACATATCTCTGGAAGATTTGAAAATCTCCGGAAGTATTTTAAATTTGTTATGGATATTTATTTTATAAGTGCCGTACTGACAAAAAATTTCATTTAATGGAAAAGGGAGAGCCGGGTTCGGCTTTAAAATGTAAAGCTGTCATGATGCATACATACCTCTTGAGGCATTTGCTACAGTAATGAGGAGTGGTATTTTATCAAGGCCAGGTTACTAAATTTGAGTTGGAAATATTAGAACCCACCGTGGCACCTCCAAGAAGGTTACACGTTTACGCGTCGTATCACTGGAACCATTTTAAGGTAAACTTAGAGGGATTGATATCTTTCGTATGCCCAGCGCGCAGACGAGATTTTATAATTTCATAGTTTTAAACGGCCTAAATACCTTAACTCGCTTAAAAAATAACGAGCTATAACCAAATGGGCACAGAAATAAAATATAACATCATTATTATTTTTCATATTTGTATAAAAACGTAGGGTGAAACGCGGGTATTTGCTCGTTTAATGTAATAAGATTACCTTCTATATGCGGATCCATCACTACTTTTTAAGAATGCCGTGCAGAAATCAAAATATTAACTTAAAACCGTCACGATCTTTCTTGAGAGCGAAAATTTATTTATAAGCAGCGTAATAATTTTCTGTTTCCGGTCAACGGTGAGCATTCGCTGTGCAAGTTAGAAAGTGGAGGGGGACTGGGAAATGTTATTTGGAATGTTCTCTATCGAATGTGACTAATTTTTTAAGTTTTCTTCAAAATTTTGTCAAATTGGTTTATGGCCGCCTAAATCGTTCAAATACCCCTATGTGCAGCGCTACATGAAATAGTGTCCCATACAGAAAGATCACTTAACATCAAAGAATATACGCTAGCAGCCTTCCTGGATTTAGAGGGCACCTTTAACAACATCTCGCATCGACTCGCGGTTAGTTGCGCTCGTAAACCAAATGCAGAGTGATTCGAGCGTAGCTGGCGGGGGTATCGTTGACCAGGATCGTAGAGAGGGAACCCCGCAAGGAGGAATCCTATCCAATCTTGTATGGGTCGCAGCGGTAAACTCACTTCTGTGTGGCATGGAGGGTGTTGGCTGTAAGGTTATCGTGTATGTGGATGATTTTTCACTAACAGTAAGTGGTAAATTTCCGCATACTCTATGTGACAGTATGCTGGTAAAACTGAAGGAAGTCGAGAGTTGGACAAAAAACAACGGGTTAGGTGTAAACCCAAGCAAAACCGAACTTGCACTATTCACAAGAATGTACAAAATCCCCCCATTGATAACACCAAGGCTGGCACAGACCACACTAAAACTAAGCGAATCTGCTAAACATATGGGGATAGTCCTAGATAAAAAATTTAGCTGGATTCAGAACACCGAAGACCGGGTGCGGAAGGCCACGGTTGCCCTCTATAGCTGCAGGGGAGCAATCGGCCAAAAATGGGGTTTAACCCCGAAGCTAGTGCACTGGATATACACCGTCGTGGTGAGGCCCATACTTCTGGTCGGGGTAGTGGTATGGTGGCCAATGCTGGAGAACAAAGTAACCAGTATTAAATTACAAAAAGTGGAGAGAACGGCCCTGATCTGCATGAGTGGTGCTCTCCGCATAACACCTACTATGGCAATGAATACGATCCTAAACATCATACCCATAGATATCATAGGACGGCAATATGCTGCGATTGCAGCCCTAAGACCACAGGGGCTTAAAAGCTGGAAAGCAACTCGATGTGGTCACACCACAATTCTTATTAACCGACAACTACCGAGTACAACGGACGACTGTGTACCAAGGCTCACTTTCACTAAAGGTTATAGCTTAACGGTACCTCGCAGAGAATTATGGCTCGAAGGATTTCCGGCGTCTGGAGTAGTATAGTAGTAGATTCTGGAACCGGAGCAGCAGCGTATATGGTTTGGCGCTGCTCCGGTTTCACAACCGCTATAAGGTTTGCTGCTGCTCCGACGCAAGCTTTGCTGCTCCGCCAAAAGATGTCGCCGATCGAAATCGAAGTTCAGAACCCAGATAAAAGCCGCAAGATGTCCAGAACCGGAACCGGAACCGATCACAGGGTATACCGCTGATGGAAATCCGAGAAATCCGATACAAGGTGGTTTATATGTCGAAAATTAATAAAGTGTATTGGTATACATCTATACATACGTATTCTCATACATACATCCATATGCAAACGTACATACGTACATATGTATATACATATATAGATGCTCCACCCCTACCCCATGTCTCCTTTTTCTTCCAAATATGTTTTAACATCCGTCAAATATCTGTTTTGACATTGTCCTGTTTTCTCATGTGGGCAACTTGCTGTCTTAACATATCACTTTCAGAATGGCATCAAGCCAATCAGATCGGTCTGTACCCAATGTAGATGGCGCGGTAAAATGAAAACTGAGTTGTCAAACTACGAAATGACAGCTCATGTTAAGATAGCGATGGTAAGAAATTCGGCAAGACAGATATGGTTTAACAATGGAAATTTGTGGTCTCCACCTAACATTTCTGTCTTACCACAGCTTTTTTAACAGAATCTGTAGAAGGTGGAGACGTGGGGCTAGAAAAGTGTGTTAATAATGTTCACATAGTTAATTGCTAAGTATTGAATGTGTATGTGCCCTGTAGGGAAAATCTCTAGTTCTGAACTGGTGCGCTTCTAGTACATTTAGACCCAGTACTGGTTCGCGATAAATCTCTTTTGCATGCAAGCAACTGGCGAATTTAACATGGCGATGTCCTAGGAAGTGTCAATTGCCCCCCGCTGCATCCCTTTTTCGATAGTTCCGAACTAGTCCTAAATTCTATAGTTCCGAACCAGTTCTAAAATCGACAGACGAAAGAAAAAAGTATCATGATTTTTCAATCTTTTTCGTATTTTCGTGTGTGCGATTTTAAGTTATTATGGAAGAAATGTGTTTTCAATTTGAAATTAAATTTGTTTGAATTACTGTAAGAAATGTACGTTTACATACCTTTAGCTGTAGCTAAGTTTGCAGAGGTGTTCGCTGTTATTTCTTAGATTCCAGACGGTCCCAAGATGTTGAAATGTTAACACAAATTTTAGTTATGTATTACCAAGCTATGAAAAAGCATCTGCGAAGCATAGAATAGGAGCGTATTTGAACGAAAAAGCCGCCAAACACATATCTATGTAAAGTAAACAAGCCCCCCGCTGCATCCCTTAGAGTTCCGAACCATTTATAAATTCGTCACTTTAGATATAGATTTCTAGTGAAAAAAACTGAAAAATTAGTTTTTTAAAAGTACCACTTTTCGCCGATTTTGGGCTAGTGGGTATCTAGTTCCTATTCTATTAGAACGAAAAAGCCGCCGAAAGTAAAGTAAACAAGCCCCCCGCTGCATCCCTTATTCGATAGTTCCGAGCTAGTTGTAAATTCGACAAATAAGATCTAGTTCGTTCTGCATCCCTTTTTCTATAGTTCCGAACCATTTCTAAATTCGTCACTTTAGATATAGATTTCTAGTGAAAAACTGAAAAAAAATTAGTTTTTTAAAAGTATCACTTTTCGCCGATTTTGGACTAGTGGGTATCTAGTTCCTATCGGACCAGTTCCTTTTTGGCGATAAAGACCTAGTACGGTACTAGAAATTTGATTCACTAGTCAGCGGTTTCCCTGCAGGGTGTATATGAATGGAAAGGCCTGCAAAAATCGCGACTACTCCATGCATGCGTGTAAAGAGTACTCCCTAAGGACTAAGGAGTACTCCAAAATTAACCACAATTCATATAAACAATATGGTCCAATTAACATTGCGATGTCCTAGGGCAGGACCATATACTCCATCCCTGCATTACATCAGAGTAGCACAAAACTACTCCAACATATTAACAATGGCATTGTTGTTATATTTTTTCGTTTGTACACGCTTTTGTTCTTCACTTCTCAAATGCTTTTTCGAAATTAATAAAAACCAAGACAAAAATTAAAAATTACATGTTGCCTCTGACGGCATTCGAACCCGAACATGCTGGGAGCTAAGAACTAACAGCGAGCATCTCTACACGTTCAGCTACAGCCAGACATGCAAATGTGCTTTCAAATGCTCAACTTCAATGACATTTCGTTAAAACACGAGCAGTGATCGGATAACAAACAATAAGCTGGCGCAGAGACACGAGTTGGTCCGCTACAGCATGACAGAGGAACACTTTTGTAAGTACTCCAATATACCACAAATAGAATACATGGTCCAACGATTTTTGCAGGGTAATGGGAGAAATCCTCCAGATTTAGGTAATGGTATTACACGTGTTGCTTTTATTATAGATTTTTTTCCTCTAAAAATAATATTTACAACCTTTCGTGAAATTTTTATTGCATCTTTTATGTTATCACTTTTCTTTAAATTTTGTTTAGCACTTTTTAAAGCATGTTTGAAGAGATGATAACCAGTTTTTCCTCCCACTTTCTTAGTTTTACTATAAATGTTCCCCATACCGAATTTCGTTTTTGTCTTCATTATATTTGTAACTAACCAAGCATTTTTTTTCTCATTAAGATTGCTATCCTTCGCTTTAACTCTTTCCCAAGCCTCCTCAATTAATTTTTTATCAGCAATATGTCCGTTATCTAAATCTTTATTATATATGTAAATATGATATATCATGTTCTCTACAAGCAGTGTCTAGTAGATTAATCCCTCGATCTCCTCTTACTAAAAGTTTCCGTAGTTTCGTTCCAGGTTCACAAAATTCATAACTAGGCAAATGAAGTTCAATAGGAAGCTTTTTAATTATATTATTTATAAAACCTTTTCCAACAACTAATGATTTATGAGTAAACCTTTTTTCATAAATAACTCTCATATAGAATAATATTATATTCAAATAAACGCTGAAGTTTTTTTAATAAATCTATGGTTCTATATAATTAAATTTTAAATTTCTAAATACCAATTCAACAGTTAATATATATTCAAATACAATATTATTATATAATTTAGAATAAACTTCTATATCATACATCGCTTTCCTATTTGTTCTACTATAATACTTTCATTTAGTCTTAATATCTAAACCCCTTCGTTCATATTCATGTTGGTTTTGATGTTGCTCCGTTATGTACTCCTCAATTTCTGCGCCACAAACGGTTAGAAATTTTCCATTGTCATCCTCTTCATCCCATTTTTTGTTAAAAAAAAAGCATGGGCTGCTCTGACTGGGATGTAACCGGGGACCCTCATCTTCATCTTCAATACATATATAAGGTTTTTTAAATTCGAAATCGAAGTTGTACTCTCCATGATGCTCGCTATTGAGGATTCGATTGATTCCAGGCATGCTGTGTTTTATAAGTATCTTTAAACAAAGTAATAATTTTTTAATGTACAGCATTAGCTTATTTATACAAATTTCATAACTATTTAAAAAGCATTGAGGTAAGCTATTGATAAAGAACATATTTAAATATACATATATTTTAGTAATCTATTTTATACTTCATAATATGATTCAATTAAAATGTGGAAATAATCTTGAACTCAATGTTGCTGTCAAATAATATATTTATTTTTTATTACCCTATTTAAAATTTTATTATATGATTCTTATCAAATGCTAATATTATTAATAGCCTTGATCTTGATTTCGTCATCATTGTTTGCCTAATAAGTATAGTAACGCCAAGTGGTCGATAACGAATCCCACATAAACATATAAAAAATGCTTATAAAAGTATATGTATATTTAAATGTTTTATTTACCTAGCATTATTCATTCATATATTGCTGACTTAGTGAGAAAAGTTGTTAAGCATACCTTTTATGAAAACTCATATTTTTTTTTATATAGAAAGCAGGAGATATTAATAATACATCGCTTCGAAAAAAGATCAAGATACTTGTTTTTCTCGTTTATATTCATTGAAAGACAAATTTATTAAATTCAAAAGAGTCACCGAATGTCTAACAAATTCAAAAATAATACGAAATCTTTTAATCTTTCACATATGAATGGAAAGGTCTCTGATGATGATGAGAACAAAAAAAATTTAATTTGAAATAAAATAAAGTTTTATAATTACTTATTTATTAATATTTCTTATTAGATATTTAATGAAGAAATACATTTTCTTAATATTGTTACATTTTTTTCAGCACATATCATAGAATTATTATGATATTTACAAGTATTTATATTTATATTTTTATTATATAAATTCTTTAAATTTAGACAATTTAAATCATCTAAATCATATAAAATAATATCGTATCCGAATAAGCGTTGAATCCATCTGATTTTCTCCAATCCTTTAGCACAGAATATATAATTTTCTCTTTTCATTAATGTATGGATTTATTCAATAACAGTCATTAAAGTCGAATCACCATCTTCCCATTTTAATCCATGATGATTATGATATAACCAGTTATTAGTTGTTTTATCCCGTATCGCCAACTTAGATTCTTCAAAAGGAGGTTGAATAAGAAACGTTGTTATATATGAATCATATGTTGATATGCTGAATTCTTTAGCAATAAATTTCCTATTAAAATAGAATCCCTGAACATCTATAACCAACGTATATTCCTCTGACATTATATAGCTTAAGCTTTTTTTTAAATTCGTTTAAAAATAGTCTTATGAGTTTCTTTAAAGGTTTATAATATTTTTCAGAGTCTAATGAAATCCTATTTAAATAATTACAAACATAAGTATATATTAGAGCCACCAATTTTATTAACTTATTGCTTACACTCCGCTGAATAATGTAAACCAAATATCAAATTAATATTTTTATATACTACATTTACATTCTTTTTATATTTCATATTTATATAATAAATCCATCTCATTCTATTAAAAGTTAAGAAATGTCCATATTCATATCATGTTTATAACTTTTAATATCAATTAATGTGACATCTGAGCGTACGTATGTGACATCACCGTTACTTAAAATTTTCTCGAATGCAACCTGACGATACTCAAAACAAGAAATATTCTGTTTGCGTTGAAGGAAATCACTATCATATATACAACGAATTCTTAGCATAATATTATCCTCATATTGAAGCTGAAAATGTATATAAAAGGGATGTGAACTCTCAATTCTTCCTGAATTATTTTCCTCTTTTTATATTAGATCTTTTCTAAATGCTTCTATGGCTTCCTGTGTTGTGAAAAACTTTTTCTGAATAGATGTAGGTGCTTCTGATGTTGTTTCAGGGATAGCTGTTTTATTTACACTAAACCAAAAATCCATCTCTGGATCAAAGAAAAATTATCCTTACTTTAAGGTCGAAAATTCTTCCGAATGATTAAAAAATTCTCCTGAATGCTTGATTTTTTTGGAATGTATAAAAACGTACACGAAAATATGGAACCGTGGATGTAATCTATCATTTTGAAGAAATGTTGGGCATGAAAAGAGGATAAAACTTCTTTAGTGCTGTTTCGTTCCCATTTTTCTTCATTTTGATTGCTGTTCTTCTTCAATTAAGAGAAGTTTTTTTTTGGGTGTACGTCCTCTTTTAATCCATTTTGATCCCTTTGAGTCCCTTTCATTAGTTTAAAGTTCAGTTTTAGGTTTATAGTATCATTATTAAGTAGTTTTAGAGAAAACTCTATATTTTCAAATTCATTTTGACTCGAATCAATAAAAAGCCTCATTGTTAACCGTCGTTCTCAGTTAATAAAAACGCTTGCGAATTTAAC